GATGGCAGCCAGAGCCCTGGAGCTGGAGGAGCCACATGGAGAGCCGCATCAGTGCTGAGGTGCTTCCACAAGACTTTCCAGCCACTGGTCTGTGATCTTCCTGCTTTCGGCATCATTGCATGTGCTGCGTGAGCCTGTAGAGGATTTATGGACTAGCATTGGACATATGGGCTAATACCAGACTTGTGGGCTAATATTGAACTTATGGGATCGTTCTGGACTGGGCCGGCGTGTTTTCTTAACATACAATTACTCTTGGATATAAAACTCTCTCTTGCACATATATTAGTGTCTCTGGATTTGTTTTCCTAATCAACCCAGACTAGCACAAAGTCCATGCAAGGCAGCAATTCCACGCTGTACCGCCTTTAGCTCTGAAGAATAATCTACTTGGCCCCCAACACCCCCCCTCCCCATGCTCAAACTTGTCAGCAAGTCCCTTTTGCAGGTCTTCTCCTTTCATGCTTGGCTCTCCCTAACCCCCCACCCCCGCCCCGTCCCCGCCAGGTCCTCGCGTCATGCTCTATCCCAGTCCACTCAATTCCCTTTTGCTGCCTTCTCTGTTTTCTGATCTTTGGGAAATCCTCAACCCACCCTCTGAGACGCCCTCCCTGACTCACAGTGGGTTAGGCCTCATTCTCGGCCTTCCCATAGCTCCCCGAACTTCTCCCATCATGACACTAATCAACCTTGACTGCGCTTACCTATGTACTTATCAATCTGTCCGGCCAGATCCCTCGCGGTGAGAGGAGAAAACTAGCTCTGTCTTGTTCTCCATTTTTCCAGAGCCTCTTGCCCAGAGCCCCGTCCGTCCCCACAAACCAAGCAGCAAAACCCAACCTTGCTGCTGCTGGGTCTACTCCCACTCATGGTTGCTATGCGGGCTCTGCTCCAAACGACAGCACTTAGTGATGAAGATCAAACACTACAGCGTCAGTACGGATGACGTTTCAACCCCGAGATAAACATCCTCACACCGGGATCAAGAAGCAGCGTCGAGATAAGTGGAGAAAATATTGACGTGGCCAAGGACTACACAAATGGCACCGATCTAAACTATGGTACTCTCAGTCTCCTCGTGTGGAAGCCGGGCATTGAATTAGGACAAGCCCAGAAGAATCGATGTCTTTGAATTATGGTGTTGACGAAGAGTATTCAAAGTGCCACGGACTGCCAGAAGAACAAACGTATTGTCTTGGAGAAGTAGAGCCAGAATGCCTCCCAGATGCCAGACCATCCCACGCACTTTGGACATGTTGTTAGGAGAGACCAGTCCCTGGACAAGGGCATCGTGCTCGGTAGAAGGTCAGGGAAAGGAGGAAGACCACCAAGGCGAAGGGCCGGCACAGTGACTGCAGCCAAGAGCGCAAACATCACAATCACTGAGTTTGGCACAGGGCTTGACTGGGGGCTTCTTTAGCTTCTGCTCCCCATGTGCCTGAAGCCCCCTTGTCCTGCACAGGAGTGGAGCTGCAGGAGCCCTGTGACCTGCCCAGAGCGCAGACCTGGGGACAACAGGCCCTGCAGTCAGAGGAGAGGGAGCAGACGTCATTCTTGGAGAGCTGCTTGGGAAGGGGTGGGCCGGGAAGGCAGAGGGAGCTGACAAGAGGCCTCAAGTTATGTGGACAATGGCTCCCTGAACCTCACCTTCCCATGCTGAGATCCTGCCGGCAGCAGGCTGGTTGTGGTCCTTAGTGCCATCGCGTGCTACTGAGTCAGACTGCTCCATATGGTTTTCTGGACTTCTTAAGAGTGGCAAGCAGATGGGAAGGAGAGTGGACAAGGAATAAGGTTCCTGGTCATCCTCCGGAAGGTTCACTGGAATGGGACCTCCTTGTGCACTTGACATATAGGAGGGAGAAATTCCCTCATGCTTTCTTTAGACCATTGTTATCTTGAGGGTTCTGTCGCTCCTAGCAGGAACCCCAGTGGCTTAGTGGTTACTTGTTGGGCTGCTAACATGTCAAAACCCATCAGCTGCTCCAAGGGAGAAAGATGGGGCTTCCTACTCCCATAAAGAGTTAGTCTCAGGAACCCACAGGAGCTGTTCCACCCTCTCCTCTGTGGTTGCTGTGGGTCAGAGTTGACTCAATGGCAGTGAGCTTGGTGTGGCTTTATCCTTTTTGAACAAAGCTCATTCTGACAGATTACATCCTATCCAAGGTTCCTTCCCAGGTAATTGCTGGAAGCTCACTGCAACTTCCGTAAGCTTCCGGAGACCTCTACAGATGAGGATGTCTCTAGACATCTTTGGGGATTTGGGTTTTCAAGAGCTGCTCCATCTAGGGAATCTGTTCTTTCAATATATGTCCAGAGCTAATAGCTCTGCCATCAAGCCAATTCTGACGCATAGCAACCCTATAGGACAGGGCAGAACGGCCCCTGTGAGTTTCCTGCACTGTAACTCTTTACGGGAGTAGAAAGCCTCGTCTTTCTCCTGTGGAACAGCTTGTTCTTTTGAACTGCTGACCTTGGGTTAGCAGCCCCGTGAGTAACCACTATGCCACCCAGGCTCCTAGCCCAGGCTCATAAGGGACACAATGAGCTTGATGGAAACATTAAGGAACTGCATACAAACAAAACCGCCTCGGAAGGACAGCAACATGCTCCTTTTCAGCAAGCGCGGTGAGAGTTTGTCTCATGTACTTCGGACACATTATCAGAAGAGACCCGTTCCTGCAGAAGGACATCACGCTTCCTCAAGTCGGAGGGCAGCAAAAAGGCGGAAGACCCTCAGTCCGATGAGTTGAGACCGTGGCTGCAAAGACGGGCTCAAACATAAGAACACATGTGAGGCTGGCGCAGACGCAGGCGGGCGGTGTGTCCTTCTGTGGTACACAGGGTCACCATGAGTCGGAGCCAACTCAGTCGCACATGACAACAACAACCCACTGTCACCGAGTCCATTCCAACTCTTAGCAACCCTGGATAGGGTTCCCCGGCTGGGAATCTGTGCGGGAGCAGCCTCATCTTTCTCCTTTGAAGGAGCTGGTGGGTTTGAACTACCCACCTTGTGGTTCACAGTACAACATTTACCCAACAACACCACCAGGGCTGCTTAAGGAATGACATTTACCTTGTTAATCTGACATCTGCTGGAGTTTGTATCTGCCTAGTGACAGTCTCGAAAGGACCTTACACATTTGTCTTTACCTCCGGGTATAAATATGGGTTCTGATCAAGTCGGATAGGGGAGTTACAGAAGATTTACAACAGTGCTACTTCAAGTGTGGTCCACACGAGCCACCACCCTCACACATTTTATGACTAATATGCAGTGGGATAAGGAACTTCCATCAGAATGGAGATCAACTGTGTCACTAAGCACACTCTTTTTCTGGGCTGACATTACTATTATTTTTCCATGGCAAAATGTTCTCAAGGATGAAGCAATGGGGAGATATTCGTTCTGGCATGGGCTTCCTACCTAGTTTGACAGCAGTTCTTTGAGTGCTGTCTAAAATGTAGTTGCCCTTCAAAATCTGAAGAGAGGTTTAAAATATATAGATACTTGTAATCGCCCAAACCGATGGCATTAGAACCTCTGGGGACAGGATTTGGGCATCTGTGTTTGTATGAAGTACCACTGGTGACTGTGAGGAATGCCCATTTGGACATGACAAGGGGATGGACTGAAGTACATGAACATCTGGGTGCATTTACTTTAAACTCCAGCTACCCTTACTGAGCACAAGAGAATTTTAATAGAACTTTTGGGGTTCTTCTTTATCCCTTAGGGTCAATTATTGTTGTTGTGCACAGCCGAGTCCATTCCGGCTCATAGGGACTGCTGTGATGGAGTGAAATTGTCCGGCAAGACTTCCTTAGGGGTGTCTTTCCAGGAGCTGAGCAGAGGCGCTCGCTGGAGAGGAGGTGGCTAATTACTTCGGATAATCCAAACTCAGAGATTTGTGAGGCTCTGGTTTCTACCGGCCTTTGTTCCAATCGCAGTTTCCCCTAAAGCTCCTTCAGTCCCTGCTGCTTGTATTCTCATGTAATGCAAACCTGGTTCCTTTAAAGCCAATACAAAAGAGGGGAAAGGATTTCTGCTTTCACCAGCCTGTGTGACCCAAGGATTGTAGACAATATAATCCAAATCCGAAGGAGGGAATGGTATCAGAGCTCAAACTGTGAACTCCTGGTCTGCAGAGGGCTAACGAATGACAGTGGAAATCCAGAATCCATAGCAGGATCTGCACGTGGGTGAAAACGCTGGTGACTTCCCTCTGACTGTCGTTGGGGGATGTGACTAGTCTAGTTATTAGTAGAGACAGTTAAAGTAGATTAAAATATAGCATCTGCTTTGAATGGTTAAAATGTAACACGTGAAGAGATGACAAAATACCCATTTATAAACTATCAAGGGCTCATG